GCCAGTTTTGCCATTTTGCCATTTTAATTCTTTTTTTGGCAAAAGTCGAAACTAGGTTTGACTTTTGCCAATGGCAAAACCTCTAGGTTTTGCCTAACAACACTACCGAAACATTCAAATTAAATGAGTGTTGCTAAAAGAAAACCTGAAAATTTAAATATAAGTCATTTAAATTTTCGGGTTTTCTTTTAGCGACACTCAAATAGTACAATAATGCAGGCTAAACTTTTGTAAAACCGGTACTTTATATAAAACATGATGAAATTTGATTTACTGAAATTTACGTAAAAAGACATGTATTGTAAGATTGTAACTTTCTTGGCTCATTATACAACCCACATTCCTCTTACTAAGTATAAGGATTGTTCAAAACCATGCACATTAACGCTCATATTTTTTTATTGTCATTAAAATTTTGGTACTGAGCTTAGAGCATCAAGTATTAATTACTCATTTTTGAGATGTAGCAACTGTGTTAAATATCGGTGTAATTTAGTAAAGCCAATATTTTTATAAAGATTTTATTTTTATTTAATAAACATCTGGAATAATAGATAAATAAAAATATGTATAAATTTCAAAATTTTAACCAGAGATCACTCCTACACTACTAATAATTAACCAGAAAAACTCAAACTGGTGTTTTTAACTGGCGTTTTTACAATGACAATTAACAACGCTATGTATATACAATGCTTACACAAATTATATAACACATGTTAATCTAATTGTAATTCGAATCGTAAATGTTTAATTTCATTTGATTTGCCAACGCGATTGCTTTCTCATTCTTATTCAATGCTGCAAGTTTTAGATATCTTATGCCAGTAACCTCATCTTTCTTTTCTTTTAATTTTCCATTTATGTATATATCTGACAAATTAAACATTGCCACTGGATTTCCATTTTCTGCTGCTAATCTCAAGTAATGCATGAATTCTTCGTATTTGTCATTCGCTTTGATCTGCTTTAATTCCTTTAATGCAAACGAATAACGTAATTGTGCTTCTGCGATACCATCATCTGCCGCAGATTTAAAAAGATGAAGTGCTTCATTTCGATCTTCCATGATTTTCTCTGGTGCTCTTCTTTCATCTGTATAATATCCTTCCCATAGATAATATCCTTTCCAAAATATCGCTTTTGAATGTCCTTTAGCAGCATTTGCCATAAAACATTTCCAAGCTTCTTTCCTTTTTGCTGGATCTCTCGTTACATGAAGTTCAATTCCTTGATCAACTTCCAGAATTTCCTCGATTTCTTTAAGATCTTCATCGTCTTCACAAAGGTAAAGACTTTCGTCATCTGACATTACATGCTCTTCTGGCATTTTATCATCGAGTTTCAAAATTTTATCGGGTAAGAGGTCGGGCAAGTATTCACGAGGAACATACTTGTTTTGCATATTCGCAAGCATTATATAAAGCTTGCCTATAGAAATCCTTTCTGATGGATCATGCTCCCATGCTTTAAAGGAATTTAATTAGACATATTATTAATTATCATAATAAAATATATACAATATTTTAATTTTATAATCATTAATTAATTTACCCATTCTAATGATTTTTGTAAATTCAGAATAAATCTCTTTCTCTTCTTTGCTTCCGGAGTAAACTGGAATTCTTTCCCTACCACCTTTTGTAACGTGGTTTGTAATATACTCCATGTCTTTATCTTGGTAAGGAATCTTTTCAAAACATAATTCCCATAGCATCATTCCAATACTGTAGAAAAAAAACAATATAAATAATTTAAACAAAAATTATAGGAAACGTTTTTGTGAACACTGCAATATATACCTAAAAATTTCACATTGTTGTGTATATGGA